CTTTAAAATTTATGACAGTTTTAATCTTTGTGCAGGGTCCAAATCAAATGTTCCAAATAGTCCTTGAGATATGCAAAGCTGTACACAGTACTCAAAGCCAAACACATGTGTCCAAGTCACGTAGATCTTCCATAACATGTCCCAAATTATTTATATTCAAGACTGTTATTACAAATTTGAGGATAACTACAGTGGAATTATTAAAATGATTCAGGATTGATATTACAGTATAAAATTGACATTATTACAAATGGAATAATTATTACAGTCCAATCAAAGATTTAAAATATGGGCTATGCTACACAATAATCTGTCATCAGATCCAGGCAAAAAGGACAACTTAGTTGGTCAGGAAAGTCTTGAAAGTAAAACATAGGTAGTGCTGTATTAGAACAAGTTGCCATAGAATACATTTCAGTTGTAATTGTTCTCTTACAGTATCTAAAACGTTAAAGATCTTCACCTCTCTGCAAGTATAGTTAGCATTAGGTACTATGCAATATTTCAGATATGAAGGGGGGAAAGTACTTGGCACACATGAAAGACTCATGTTGCATCTGCTGGCAACTTTACAAAGCAGCTGTAAGTGGGAGTGATGGAACCATATCACATGCTGCAATATATTCCTAGGAAAATACATGTTTGATTAAAGAAGTTGCTGCCAAATATTACATGGCTGTCCTTGCATGCTCCATATCAATCTTTCCTTTCAATCCCAAAGGTCATTACATAACCTGAATTGGGTTTACAATAACTCGCCACAGTCAACTCGCCATGGGACATTAAGGCTTGAGTTAGCACTACTTATAGCTGGTGGCAGAAGATGCAGTATTCTATAATGGAATCACTCTAGAGTTTTGCTGGTGCTGGCTGAGCCAGATGTTTGTACCCAAGGATGGAGAATGAAAAGCTATAGCGTTTGGTTCTGCCAAAACTCAGAATTTAGGACCAGCTTTCCAGAAACAATCTCACCTCAGTCTTCTTCTTTCTTTCTTTTTATTGAATTTTTTTAGGACAGTTCAAAAGTACTTATTCAACAAACGTGTTGTCTGAGTTTATCATTCACTAATACAAATTAAATTCCTAATCCCTTGTTCGTTTCTCCAGCCATCGATAGAATAAATCCCAAGTTTGAAAATATTCTGTCTCTTCTTTTTCTTTCAACCTCAAATTAAGTTTGTCCATTTCCGCATAATCAAATATATTTTTAATTATTTCTTCCTCTGGTGGTATTTCTTCATTTTTCCAATATTGTGCGAATATGATTCTTGCCGCTGTTGTCAAATGTAAAATCAAGTATACACTTTGTTTGTCAAGCTTTTCTGGCATTATATCTAATTTAAAAACTCCAGGTTTAAAATCTACATGTTTTCCCAATATCCTTTCTAGCCAAGTAGTGATAATATATATATGACTTGTGTTTACATTTCCAACATCTATCTGACATATTTTTAAACATTTTTGGCACCAGCCACCTATAAAACATTTTATATACATTGTCAATTTATAATTTCTTTCCCACAAGCTTTGCCATTTCTCTAAATCTATATTGTATCCAAAATTATTTGCCCATATTATCATTGTTTCTTTTACTTGTTCATCTTCCATTTTCAAATTCAATAAAAAGTTATACATTTTCTTAATTAGTTTTTCATCAAAGGTTAATAATATCTGATCAAACAAGATCTGCTCTCTGCAAAATCCAGACAATTTAACATTTTTATTGTATCTCACTTGCCTTTGTAAATATGACCACCATGATAGATCAATACCCTGAGTTTCCATTTCTTGTTTAGATTTTAAGCATCAGTATTAACATGGGTAAAAGTATGGATAACTCTTAGAAATAAAAGATTGTTGTATTTGGAAGGACATGACTTACAACTCGGTTGGCACGCTTTCTTATGGTATGGGAAAAATAAAATTCATAAATATTTTCAAAACCACTATATATTAGAAATGCATTACTACTAACATGGGAAAAAATAAAATGTAAAATATACTTGAAAATTCCAGGATGGCTTTCAACAATGGAAGCATTTGTACATCCAAATTTAGTCAGTCTTGAGAAAATATGGACATATAAAGATATTCTAAATTCTGAAGGGAATGTCTTCCTCTTTCTTAATGAAGAACCATCTGAGAATCCCATTACATTGTTTTTCAAAAGCCAAAGGAGGAAGTTAAGTACACTGGGCCACTGCACTCCTCCCATAGCAATGGATGGCCTTATATTGGTGGATGCAGACGTCTCCCAAAACATATGATTTTTTTTCCACTATCCAAATTTGCGACAGAGATATTGAGATTAATGTAAATGGTTAAGGTTAATTTAATTTGTATACCGCCCTTCTCCCGTAGGACTCAGGGCGGTTCACAGCATATTAAAAACACAAATACAATATACAGGATACAAAAAAAAATCATACAAAAATACACAAAATAACCCCACTAAAACCTAATTAAAAGCCAAATATTGATTGCTGTGTTCCCATTAAAATTACTTTTTAAAAACGTC